CGAAGTTGTTTGAAGTCATTTTTGAAGTATTTAAGAAGATGAACTCCTCAGACTTTGAAAACAAGCATGTTACTGGTACGGCTGCATAGAGGTTGGCTCACAACACAGTTTTTGTTCTATCTTCATTTGTTGTTATTCGAAGTTGTTTGAAGTCATTTTTTAAGTATTTAAGAAGATGAACTCCTCAGACTTTGAAAACAAGCATGTTGCTGAATCTGGACAGGTTCCGGGACTGGCTGTGACCACAGTCAAGCTGCATAGAGGTTGGCTCTCTACTGGCTGTGACCACAGTCAAGCTGGATGGAACTAATTATTTGGCTTGGTCACAATCAGTAAAGATTCATATTTGTAGTAGAGGCAAGTGGGGTTTTATCTCCGGGAGCAAAAAGGCTCCTCCGGAAGATGATCCATCATGTAAAAAGTGGATGCAAGAAAATTATACTGTTATTGGATTGGCTTGTTAACTCAATGCAACCACAGATTAGTCAGCACTATTTGTGGATGAATTCAGCAAAGGAAATTTGGGATAGTGTTGCTGAAACCTATTTCCAAAAATTAAATGTGGTCAGGGTTTACAAGTTGAGAAGTGATGTGAAGAATTTGAGACAGGGGGAGAAACCATTAGTTGTATACTTCTCAACACTAAAGTCTTTATGGCAGGAAATAGATTTGATAGAAGTTGTAGCCTGGGACACCACTAATGATGTTGAGACCTACAGAAAACTGGTTGAGAGAAACAAGGTGTTTGAGTTCTTGGCAGGGCTAAATCCAGAGTACGACATTACAAAGCAAAATATTTTATCCAAGGATAGTGTCTCACTGTCTCAAGCATATGCCTTGGTAAGTGGTGAAGAAAGCAGAAGACTTGTCCAGGTCCAGGGGCTGATCTAAATGATCACTTTGCTAATATGGGAGTGAAACCCAAGGGGGTTGCAGGGACTCCAAGTAGCTCAGGGAAGAAAGAGATTATCTGTGAGTACTGTAAAAAGCCAAAACACACTAAAGACAAGTGCTGGAAATTGCATCCTAAGCTCCTACCTTCAGTTTCAGAAGAAGTCTGATAATATAAAGGCAGGGAGTGCTAATGTTGCTGCTGGTCCAGATAGTGACAGATACCAAACTGAAGAGATGACGGCTAGTGAGCAGTTAGCAGCTATGAAGGCAAAATATGAGAAGTTTGGGAGGATGATCAGTCACCTAGAGGGTGTGACCTCTTCTTCCAACCCTCCAAGAAATTCAACCTCTTCTGCATTTGCTCATTCAGGTATACGGGCTTTTGCCAATCATGCAACCATTTCAGGTAATCGTAGGATCCCTTGGATTATTGATTTTGGTGCTTCTGGTCATATGACCAACCTTTCTACTTTGTTTGTTTTATAGGATTTACTTCCTGGACGTGGCAAAATCACCCTAGCTGAT